GCAGAAACAAATGTATCTTCAATAAAAACAAAAAATATTCGTCAGTCATCTGAAAATTTTTTTTTCACAAAAAATTCATTCAATTTTGTTCTCCTCCGTCATTGTTAAAAATTCGTTTTTATTATTACTGTACTGCCGACAAGTGTCACAGTGGCGTTCAGTAGTGAAAATGTCTAACATAAAGTAGCAGAATAACAGCGCATATATGTCTTGAATTTAGTACCACTCTAAATTAATACTGATAATACGAACAACTAACACAGAGATTAAAAAAAAAATAGCGATTTGTCTCAAATAAATTCAAAATCTTAGATATTAACTGCTATTTCAATAAGCAGCGTCTAATTAGACTGTAAAACAACAGTGCCTAAAAAGCAGGCTTTTCTGCTCATTAAATTATACTCAACACATCCCAAAATGAATAAATTTTGCAAAGCAGAATAACGGCTTAAAAATTTTGAGGCCGACAGAGCCATTGCCTTTCCTAATTGTCGTTGCTAAAGCAGCTTCAATTTTTCCATTCTTTGCAGCCTTTTTTATTTTTCTCAAATTAAAACGTATTCATCAGCTAAACTCAAAATTTTGGAGAGAAAATGATTAAAAAAGAGGAACTTTAAAAATGTATATATCCAATTTATGATCACTATTAATCATCCAACTCCACTGCTTATTAACTGCTTAATTGAACCAACAAACTTATTTTTGGTATTGAAATAGAGAGAACATTAGAAAAAACGCTGTAACGCTTAAACCGTTGCCAAACATTTAGGTACACGTAAAATAGTCATTCCCCAATATACAACATATTTTTTTAAATTAATATCCAAAATTTATTTCACATTTTACTGTTTCGTAGAGTCTACCTGCAAATTTAAGAGACTTTGAAATAGAAACATGGAAAACTAGTTGTCTCAACCAAGTTATATTCTTCAAAAAAAAAAGTTCATTTTTAATCAATTATTTTCACTCTACGAGGGTTCAACTATTCTTTTTAAGCATTAGCATTTGGACTAAGGCTTATACTCCTACAGATTCTACTCTTTTTTAGAAGTTTTTGTTCAAGCTACTGCAAGGCACAATAAATCATAGCTAAAAAAAATTGCGAAGGGGAAAACAGTGTCATTTCCTCTTTTTTTTTTTTTTTTTTTTTTTTTTTTTTT